ATTGATTCTTCTTTTCATAAGAAGGACCCAGAACCATATTTATATTCTAAATTGAATTTGATTGATATTATTCTCTTCCCAAAGCCTTCTGGCAACGCGTGTGGTGCTGACAATGAATACTTCATGAAACATGAAAATGAGATGCCAATCAAATTTGTACATTGAGGAGCCAAGGCTGTGATGCATGGATTTCTCTTGGAACACAATAACTATGAGAAAGTCGTGAGGCATAGGTATTCAGAATTAAGAAAACACTTATTGATTGAATGAAGTTTGCTTGTAGATGGAGCTGAAACACCACTTGCTAGACATTAGTCACCATATGCGCAAATAAAGGGCATCATACATAAATTTTTTGAAAAATAATGCATTATTTAGATTCTGCAAAACTTTGTAAATTTGCTTCAAGTTGTAATCTGATCGTCCCGATTTGTCGGACGAATCAGTTTCTTGTAATTTACAAAAAACACTAGTGGAACTTTTCAGCTGGGCGTGACCCCATGATTTTTTCCCTCATCTGGGTTTTCCACGTAAAAATCATGGTGTTCATTTTCTTTTCTGTTTGTGTGCTGAATATTCGTGCAACGCTCGGACGTGAATTTGTAAACTCTAACGCCGCGTATATTCTAGCCCGCAACATAAATATATCAAAATTCTATGAAAATTTGAGATATAGTATTTATTTAGGATAGTTTTTTAACTGTTTTATTTTTAAATAATAATATAATTTTATTTGACTATCATTTTCTCATTATTTTTCAAAAAATTTCTATGAAGAAAAGCTACGCTCTATAATAATAATAGATTTTTTTTTCACAGCAACTTCACAACCAACTCTATAAGACAATACAGTTTTCCCAAACAAACTCTAAATATTAGAAAAAATATTCTATGTAGAGACCGGATGGAGAACACAATCCGGAGACCAATCAAAATGAGTCAAGTTACTGAGTAAAAGGGTGACATGATGCATTCTGGTTGGTCTCCGGACGGTATTCGGCGTCTGCACAAAATAATTTTTTTTGAAGGTGAGAAAAAATACTTGAAAAATAAATTTTAGTTTTGGAGGAGATTTATTTCAATAACTTATGTAAAACATACAAAATTTAGATATTATTTGAATTTTTATATTAGAAAATTAATTAAATTTATAATATTCTAGTAAGTATGAATTTAATATAAGATTTAAATTTAATAAAATTTTAGATAATCCTCATAAGAAGAAAGGATTGCATTTCAATCTATTTTAGAGAGAGAGAGAGAGAGAGAGAATAATGTATAATAAAAGCTTTTTTTTAATTTCTATATATATGTGGTGGGAAGAAGACAAATTTTCTCCACATTTTTAATTATTTTTTTCTTCTTTTTATAAAATAGAAATAGAGTTTGGTTGAATCTATTTTTAGTTAAAAATATTAAGTTCTGAATGAAGATAAGTAATTTTATAATTTTATATTAAAATGTTTATTTGATGCGCACATGCAAGTGTTAGCGTTGGCTCATATTATTAATTGTGAGATAAAAAATTATGTCAAAATATCTAATTTTTTTTAAATTTCATCCAAATGAGCTTAAAATTCTTGAATTTAATTTAAGATTATTAATTTATATGAATAATTTACTGAATCGATTCCCTAATTTTTTTGAATGGCCGAAATAATTTTAGACTATATAAAAGTACTAATTTGATTTATTGACTCTTTAAATATGGATCAAATTAGTCATTTTATGAAATCATTTAGGCTTATTTTAAAAAGTCAAAGGACTAAAATAAAACTTTTAATTAGTAGAGAACTATTTTGATCATTCTTAAAAAGTCAAGGATCATTTTGATCATTATCCCAATTTCAATAATTTTCAAATCTATTCACTTATGATATATTATTGTGATTTGGGTTCTCTTTAAAAATATAAACATGACAAATTGTAAAGAAGAAAGCTATGCTTTTTTGAGTTCAACTACAATTTTGGTCGACCAATGATTTTTCAATACATTCAAGAAAATTTTATGCTAAAAAATTGCTTTGTACTATAGTTTTCAAAAAAGTTATTTTATTCGTAATAGCTTCACAATTACTTTTACAAATAATTAGGTTACATTGTGTTGTGTTTTGTTCCTAGATTTAGGATTACTTTTTGTATAGGTTTTGTGTATGGCATGTGTGGCCATTTGTGGAGCTATTTGTATAGCTTTTAAGTGCCTATTAATAGGCTTTAGTTTGTATTAGGAGGAGGCCAAGAAGAAGAAATAAGAATTTGTGCATTTGGCTCACGGCTCCCTCCCCTCTCCTCTCTCCCTCCTCCTCTCTCAAGATTCGGTGGAAGTGCTTCTTCCACAAGAACATGATCTGACACATTGAACACGTACCTCACATTGGTCTGTTGGTTAAGAGCATTGGCTACCAATAAAAAAATTTTGGATTTGAGTATTGTGTATGTGATGTGCTTGAATTTACTTTAATTAGCTTAAGGCTTCATTTGGGATGACTTTGTTACTGCTTTTTAAAATAACTTTTTAGTATAAAATTAAAAGTTTTTATACTAAAAAGTTGATATAAGAAGCAGTAAGAAAACTATCCTAAACGAAGCCTATGTCCAAAAAAAAAGCTACATTTAATGAACTCTAAAAATTTATAACGGCAGAACTTTTTTTTTTTGGGAAATAACGGCAGAACTATAGAAATAACGAAATATTATAAATTCACGTGGAAAAGAGTGAATATATTCCTAAAATTTATAGTAACCTAATTATAGAAAGAACAAGTAATTGTAAATTAGATTGAGATAATTTTTTTAGTATTTTAAATATTTTATTAATGGATAAATACTTCACTTATGCAGTTTTAAAATATATTTTTTATTAATTTTTTTTAAAGCAGTCGGTTAAATAGTCGTTTAGCTACGGTGCTGCTCTGATAGCTTTCCTTTAATGCTACGAAGTACGGCCATATGGAAGTGGTAACGGCTACGTTAAGTTAGGCTATTAAAAAAACAGCCTAAATTTGGTCATTGAATGGCTCAACTGATACATTTACATTTTCGTGTGGACAGTTAGGACCATAAGGGATCCGTCGGTCTTTTTTGTAATATGTAGATAGTTTAGGGGCTGTTTGGTTATAGTATTTAATTTAGGTTGAACTCATTTAATTTCAAACTTCAACATGGATATGCAAAGCTTCGAATTTTAAATATGTGGACGTCTAAGGCTTTCGTTTAGGACAACTTTTTTACTAATTCTTAAAATAATTTTAAAATAGAAATTTTTTTATTTTTTGTGCTAGAAAATTGCTTTAAGAAATATCAAGAAAACCATCCCAAATGAAATCTAAATTTCTAATCAAACGCAGCTCATTTTGGTTTGTTTGGTTGAGAGCTTTGGTTACTAGTCAAGAAGTCTTGATTTCGAGTCTTATTTTGTAATGTGTATGTTAGTTTAACTTAATTGGTCTAAATATCACCAAAAAAAATTATGTTTTTTTTTTTAACATTTGGGCTATTAAATACGCAAGTTTCGAACTCAAAACTTCTTGATTAATAACCAAAGATCTGAATCAATAGACCAAGATGAGCTGTGTAAAAAAATTTCTAATCAATAAGTTAAAAATGAGTTGCATTGTTTAATACAAAACTTTTTTGTTGATAGTCAAAACTCCAAATTAACAGACTAAGTTGAGTTGAATAAAAAAAAAGTTTCTAGTCAATAAGTTAAAAATGAGTTGCATTGATTATATAAGTATAATTTGAAATAAATCAAATACAAAATATTTGCATGGGAATACCAAAATATGGAAATTTGGAGTATCGATTTGAGATTAATTTGGAAACATTTTTGTATTCCCTCCACCATCTCCATGGGAGGGCAATTTATTATGTCCGGTGTCCGGATACGTCCGGACACCAATTCAAACGTGCCACATCACAAAATATAACAGGACCCAATGTATTCGGGTGACGTCCGGACACCTACACCGTTTTTACCGGCGGTTAACAAACCGCCGTTAGACCGCGGTAACGTAAAAAACCGCCGGTAATTCTACACTAACCGCCGGTTATCAGCGTTTTTCCTGTAGTGCGTGGCGCGTCTGGCTTGGATGTCCAGACGTCCGGTGACCGGACGTAATAATTCGCCCCATGAGAGACATTCTCCACATTTTAAATCTTATATGCTGTATTGATATTTTCCTTAATATTGAGAAAGGTTGATATTCTATAATTTAGGACTAAATTAGTGATAATTATTTCAGCTAAATTAAATCCTACACATTTTCTTTTTTGGATTTAGGATTCGTTTGGGACTTTTTTATTATTTTTTTAAACAAATTTTTAATAAAATATTTTTTGAACTAAAATTTTTATAGTAAAAAAATATTTTAAAAATTAGTAAAAAAAGTCTCGTGCTTTTTGCACTTTTTTTTAATTTTTTTTTTTCAGATTTTGTGTGAGTAACAATTCAATGCTTTTACAATATGCTTTTTTTCTCTACAAACATGACCATGCAACAATAATTTTAATTTATAAATCTCAGTAATAGCCCAAGTTTCCCTACAAAGCAAGGAAAACAAATGTGACCAATGTTTTGACTTGTCAACGTGGCCATCATCCATTGGCGAACAAATGGCGGGTGAAACGTGGTGCAAGGTCTCTATATATTTAACACTAATTATTTTCGTAACGGCTGTTCCGACTTGGTGCCGTTGGACCCACAAACAAGACCAGCCTCAAAGGCGTGACACGTGTGAATCTCGTGCTACGCGAGTCCGCGTTTGCTCCGCCAAGCTTCCCTACGAAAACGGATGGCAAAGACAAAAGCCGGAAGACGGAATTTTGTCCTTCCTCAGCCCCACCATATACATCGCTAGGAATGCCGCCAGATCTACCTTGCGATTCGTGCAAGCCTCATATTTACAAAAAACACGGTGTGGACTTCGACGCTCACTCTGTACTCTCTGCTTCTCTTTTCTCTTTTATGACAGAGACCAGATTACAGATGGAGCATCAACGGCCTTCGATCAGCGATCAGAGCCATTGACCGAGCGGAGAAGACCGAGTAAAAGTCGGCCTTTTCTTCGTTTTCTATTTATCTTTCGGTCTTTCCTTTCAAATTTTCTGATTCTACTCGCGTCACTCCGTCGTCTCGTTTCTTCTTACGCTGATGCGTCACCGAAGAACCAGAAGAACGGAGTTTATAGAGCTTACGATTGTAATTTCCGAGTTGAAGGTAAGCTTGGAATGATTATTCTTTGATTCTATGTTCAATCGTTAGAAATCGAGGGTTTTTCTTCATATGCGATCATTAGGTTTTTGCTTTGCGAATTCGAGGCGAATAAAACTTTCTAAAATTCTGAGTTTTAGAGCTGTTTGAGATTTGAAGAATTGGTTTGGAATTTAGGAGTTTCAGTGTGGAAGAATTTGTTAAATCGTTGGCTGCTGATATGGCGGATCTTTATTCGATGTCCGGCTATGTACTTAGTATCTCCCCTTTCCTGATTAAAAATTTGACCTTTGTTATCTTATTTTATTCTGTTCTTGGTTTTCTTTTATAATTTTTTTTCCTCGTGTGTTTTTCTGAGTTTTCTCTGTTTGTTCAAATGGCGAAGAGGAACATTTGAACAAATTAATGAGAGCGCTTCTGGAAATTTATTTGATTCGGTTTAAGTGTAGATTTACAGAGCATCCGTTGCAGCCTTGAGGAGTTTCCGGGCGGATTTCATGTTTCAGTTTCCTATGAATGTTCGCTGTTTTTTCTTGGTGAGAGAGAGAGAGAGAGAGAGAGACTTCTCGTGTTTCCAAATTTCTCCCTCCAATAATGCCACAATTCAAATTGTTTTTTTTTTCGGTTCCTTGCAAGATTTTTTTTTTTGCTGCTTCATTAAGTTTTTAACTATATCCATGAATTTGCTGATGCAGAGAACAATTAAGAGGTGTGTTATACAGCTTAATTGAGAGTTCATTCCCTCAGCTGGATGAGGGACAATGAGTTGAGGCACTGAATTGAAGACATCGCTAACTAAATTTTGGCTGTGAAGTTTGATGGCGAGCACTATCCCCCAGCTGCGTTTGGTTCGGTGCCCTAAATGCCGTAAGGTTCTTACAGAAATTCCGGGGATTACTCTATATAAATGCGGTGGATGTGGTGCCACTCTTCAAGGTATATTATTTTACAATCAATTCTTCTTGTTCTTTGATTTGTTTATAGACTTACTAATGCCTTTTTTCTGATTCAGCCAAAGTGCGTTCAAGTAGTGGAGAAGTTTTGAGTTCAGCATCAGCCCCTGGCAGCTCCAAGCACATATCAGATAGTGGTTCCCAAGGCAATCAAAAAGAAAACTTTGAAAAGCAAACTCCATCTTCTTTAGATCTTCCTGAAGATCAAGATCAAGCTTTGACAGAGAGTACTAAAGTTTCTGGGTCTAGTGGTGAAAGGAATGTTCAAGAAGACTCTAGAAATGGGATGAAGACTAAACTATCTGATTCAGATGGTGGAAGTTTGAAAGACAAGGCTAAATCCACAGTACAGGAAAATAATGGTGTCAAAGGGATAACTTTGGAGAAAGAGAACCGGATGGAACTGAAGAAATCTTCTGATCAGGAAATTCCAGCAGCCAATAACAGTTTGAAGTCAAGTGAGAAACTTGAAGAATCTCCAGAATCTCTTGAGCATGATAGTTCCTCCGAGGATAATAAAATAAATGGGAAGTTCAGAATGAATTCAAGCTTCTTATTGAGAAGTAGCTCTCATGCTTATGAAGGCGGTGACTCCTCCACTGATGAAGAGCGAAGAAAACAAATTCCTCATAAGTATCTTGAGTTATCCAGAAGAACATTTGGAAAAAGAACATCCTCAGTTTTCAGTGGTAAAGCGACTTCTAGAGATGGTGTACAGGCAAGAGAGAGAGACTTCTCGTTTGTCTCTGAAGATTTTAAATCTGCGCTGAACTGGATGGAATCAGAAAAGGAAGCGCCTTCAGTATGTAAATCAAAGGATACCAAACGTTTTGTCAAATTTAGATACTCTGAAAAAGATGATAAAGTAAAAATCATAAGGAAAGTTGATGAACTGAAAAGTGAACTCCTTGATTTTTTCCATAGATCAGCCAATGCCAAAGACAATTCTCGACTTGGCCTAACGGCACATTTTGAGGGAAAGATTCCACCAAAACAGTATCGATCATCGTCCCTTATTCCTCTCTCCGCACAACCCATCTCTTCCTGCTTGAATCCCCACCATGGAGGCATTTGCTGTCACAATGAACACTGCAGGCTCTGCCCTCACAAGGCCTGTTGCCGTTTGCCTGAAAGCACCACAAGTCATCCTCTTCACATGAAACGCTACAGTCCATCTCACCAAGAGCCACAAAATCTGCAATCCAATGATAAAAAACCACAGCCAGTTAAGCGCCATTGCCGACCAGTTTCCGGTGGTGCACCATTTGTCATTTGCTACAGATGCTACAAGCTTCTCCAACTGCCTGCAGATTTTCTTGTGTCAACAAAGAGGGTTCATAAGCTTCGCTGTGGTTCTTGTCATGAAGTTCTAAGGTACTTCTTCAGAGCGAGAACTCGTTCGATGCCTTGGACTCCTGCGGAAGCCCGTCATCCACCAAGCGAAGAAGAGAAAAATAAAGTTTTGAATGATGAGATCAGGATTCCAGTTAGTAATGGCTTATCAGGAGGGGATCCGGTTTCATATTCTGAAGACTACGGCATTTCTTTTGGTCAGAGCTATTCTTATGAGGCTGAACCTTCTCGGCACCTCCATAGATATGATAGCATTGTGGAAGAAGAAGATAGTGGTAAAGAAGTGAGGAGTTCGCAGTTGCATAAACTTATGGGCTATTCTTCAGCTCGCTATCTTCTCTTTGAGACTCTCAGCCCTGGTGAAGGCCATCGAATAGGACATGACAGATAGAATAGAACTTTGAAGGGGAAAACTGAGCAAGGAGATTTTGAGAACGAAGCTTGCTCTTCTTCCCTTTGATCACAGCTCAAAATTTTGGAGATGGACGACAATTTTTTTTTTTTATGACAGACCTTAGTGTTTATTGTTTAGGACATAGAGCAGGGCTTAATTTTTATGTAGTTACTATGATTGTTTGTATTCATTTGTATGATAAATAAGCCTTCTTCTGTGAGGCTATTAAATGAAGAGTAATACCTTCCTTCCCAAAATACAATCCGAAAAGCATTCAGATATTACCCGAAAGTGCTAGCAAAAATGATGTGGCTCAATGAAAAGGAGTGGCCCACAGCTGATGTCATGTTCGCTTACAAGTTACAATCCCCCATTGCTTTCTTGTTGAGGAATGATTCAGAGGATTGAATGGGGGTCAAATTCAAATATATCACCGATTAAATTCATTTTCAATAGGTAAAAATCTTAACGTTGGCCATCACTCCCTCTTAATTAGATTTGTATAGCGATAGGGGTGTCAAAAGTTGACCCAACCCGAAACCCTACCCGGACTTTGACCCAAAAAAATTAGGGTTTGGATCAACCCGTTTGTGAAATGGGATGGGTCCTGGTTCGGATTTCTGTTCCGTTTGAAAAAACGGGTCGGGTTGATCCGATAACCCGGAGTTGACATGACTAACCCGGATCTCGCACTAATCTAGCCTAGTCTACCATCAGGCATCAGCCTAGCCCGCACTGCCACGTGCCTGATGCGGTCATGCCAGCCAGCGACCTCGATCGCCTGCCCCATATCAGCACTCCTGCTTCGATGAGCTCCTGCCTCGCCACGCTCGAGTTCGCCCCCGCTTCCGCAACTCCGCCAGTTGCCGCTGACCTCAGCAACTCCGCCTCATCCGCGGTCTGCCTCACCTCCGCAACTCGGCAAATCCACCCCGCCTCCACAACTCCATGGCCCTGCGTACTCGCAGACTCGTGCGACTCAGCAATTGCGCCCATGGAAAGAAGGCAAATGTTCAGGTTTGCGGGTCTGGTCGGGTGAAACCCAAAAACCCGCTCGGATCGAATTCGAATTAAAAATCCTATACTCGACCCGTTTACACTCAAGTCAACTCGGGTTGAATCCGAACCCGACCCATTGACCCGAATTGACACACCTATACATTAATAGTTATCTAGATTAAATTAGTGAAGTCATTGTGCCGACTTAGATCAGTTCCATGAAACTATTTTGATTGATAAGTTTGCTTTAACCACTCCAAATTATAACTATTCGCTTTCTGGAAAGTCTCAAGTCTCAAGTGAGCTTGAAAAGTCGCTTGATGGGCAACAAGTTATTGTGAGCACTGAAAAATTTTGCCCAACCTCTTAGCTGGGGGCGTGTTTCAGGGGATTGATTGAGCAATGATGAACAACTGCTCTGATGTTTTTTATTTGCAATAATTTTACTTTATTTATTCCAGGGGTTCTAAGAGTGCAAGAACCCAAGGTTAATTAAGGAAAGAAATAAACTTTCAATTAAGACTAAGAGTATTGGTTTTGTCATAATGTGATGCTGTAATGACTATTTTGCCAAGTCTTGTAGGAGTTTGGTTAGGACACATGATTTGTTAATCAAGATTTTACAGTTATGTCATCATTTAGTTAGGGGACTAATTAACCCAAGTTAATCAAAAGATTCTTGTCATCAAGCATAGGCAAAGTATTTTTTTTGCTCTATCAGATGTATCAAGAATAACTAGATAGTTGAATGCATGTCATTGGAGAATATGATAACTTTATTGTTGTCATAATAGTATTATAATGATATCGTTATGATAAGACAGACTATATAATTATAGGGTATTTGTCATCAATGTCGAATTTGATTTATTTGACAATAGTTTATATAGCGCTGATTTCTTTGTGAGCTTGGGTTAATTTGAATTTAGCGTCTTTAATTAAATTAGTGTAGAATGTGAATTTTTTCGAGAGCATACATTTGTTTATGACTTTTATGTAATTAGGGGCATCTTCTTTTATTTTTCGTTTTTGCTCCTTTTAGGTCGTTTTTAAGGGCATAAGAAGGGGACAAGTAGTTTCAACCCATTTTGAGATGTTAGGATACTTTGGGGATCATTTTATGTGGAGATATAGTTTCACCCCATTTTGGAGGGGTTAAAGGAGGTTGGCATTTTTTTGACATTCTTTTGTAAATCTTGGGGCTATCAATAGGCTAAGGAGGAATCGACTGTATTGACTTTGCTGAAAGGAAATAAGAGTTTCAATCATAATGTTAATTTAGCCTTATTCTATAAATATAATTAGTCTTGTCCCTAAGAAATTTGTTGGAAAAACATCTTGAGGAATGTGATATTGGCAAAGTATTTGTCATTATTTCAGGATTAGATTAGCCTCATTCTTCGCTATAGTTTAACCTTCATCCTAGATGAACTTGGGATTGATCATATTTGAGTTGGACTATAAAGGTATGCTATCTTCGTGTATTTGAATGACTTAGAAAAATCATCACATAAAAGTGACTTCTATTTTCATAAAAATAGGATCAAAGATATTTACATTTATGTATGTAGATATGCATATGGATGAACATATTATGACTTTTTGATTTAATGTTACAAGAATATTAGACTTCTGGCTTGAATTTGAGGTATGGAGCTTATTGGAATTTAGGAGACTAGCATGCAACATTTTGGAAGGCATTGAGACTATACCTTAGTAGTTGCCAAATGAGGAAAAATGGCAAATTAGATACTTCCTTATAAATGAATTATTTACCTAACAAGGGTTATGCTATAATTTTCTTTTGAATTGAGTTGATGTGAGGGTTGAAATTTTAGGTTTTGAAGCTTGGGATAATCTTTCCAAAAAAAAGGAAGAAGCTTGGGATAAGGCCAAATTGATGTTGATTTGATGTAGCTTTGAGTTGTCCTTTTTTTCCTTTTATCTTGATTGCATTGATTTGAGATGACATAGTGGGATTAGTTGGGTGTTAACATAGTGGGATTAGTTGGGTGTTATCTTAGCCAAATTGTAATTGCAACATTTTAAACTCTTATATGCATTTTGCATGTAGAAATAAGTTAGAAACATTTTTCATTCATGATTTATTCATTCTATTATTCATGAGGGGCGTTGTAAGCCATCAGTTTATTATTTTATTGTTCATAATGAATTTCAACCCAATTACTCATCGCAATATATGTTATGTTATTGTTCACAGTTAGACTCTTCAAACACCAAAGAATTGGTGGGTAGACATGACATCATCACATAGAATGAGACTAAACTATCAAATGGATAATCGACTTTAGTGTCACTTCCACACAAATAATTATACTTTAATGGCTATAGTTGATCATGGGCTTATAAACTTTAGATCTACCAAAGCACTTCAAAAATAACAAAATATCTGATAGGGAGGAACCCCTTTCATCTTCCTCTTTTATAAAATTTCTCCCAAGTCATCAGCACGGTGAAGCTTTTACAAGGCTTTGATGGAAAGGGGTGGAGAGCTTATTTCATCGTATGTGAGGGTGTCTGTTATTTATAGAATGGAGAGGGGAGACTCTTCTAGCCTTGGACATGGGAAGAAAGTCCCTCTCAACTTGCTCTTCATTTTTTCGGCAAGTGAGATTCCAAAATTTTTTACCTTTTTTAAATAAAAACTTAATTATTTCTTGTTATAAATTGATAAAATAATGAACATAAGTTATAGGCAATTATGATAATAATAAAAAAAAAAAAGTTATAGGCAATTATGTAGGAGATCTATCATCTACATTTCTTCTATTTTAAATAAGAAATGCAATAGATATGTCCAAAAGACTACTAGAGAGTTAGCTAACAATCGATTAAGAGTGAATAAACGTGATGTAGTGATATGCTCTAAAAAGGATTTAATGTGTTCCCACCTCCTCCCACCATGGGTTGTATATTAATAAGAATCATTATTAGCCAAAGTTGAGGTTGAAAGTACATTGATCAGAGCAAAGGGGTGTTGATGATTGTTTGCAAGAATTGAACTTAGTTGGCTTGGGTCTTTCATTTGGATTTGCCTGGGCTAGTCCAATCCATGGTCAAATGGATTATTGTCAAGTTAGGTAGGCTTGAAATTGAGACTAAAGTCCAAAGCAAATGATTTCATTATTTAATTAAGTTTAACTAAAGGTTGATTTGATCAATTGAGTAATTGGGTTCAAATGAGTCTAGTTTAGATTAAGATCAGTCCTAAAGTTAACATAGTTTTATCCTAGAAGATAGGTTTTGTCCAGGTTAGTCTATATCCAGTTTCATGATTTAATTAAAGGGTGCCCTAAGTTTAATTGAAGTCAACTTTTGAATTGAAGCTCAATTGATCTAAATGAGCATTTATAGGCTAGGTTAGAATTTTTGTTAGTCCAATCCTAAGTTTAAACTAATTGGGATCTATTTGGGGGTTTAGGAATGATTTATATAGTTTTGGTTTAAGATCTATGCCATCTTAGGCTTAATGAATTTGAATGTTAGTGGATTTAAGGGTTAGATTTATTTGGTCTAGATATCTTAGGATGAGATGTTTGGATTGCTAAGGGGTCGTAAGAGTTGAAAGATCCAAAAGGAGAGGCCACTAACAAACTAAAAACAATTAGGTAGCTCAAGTTAATATAGAATCTAAGAAACTAATTTGGTGTTATGGGTCAATTTATTAGTTGTGAGTCTACCTAAGATCTAAAATGTAATAGGTGAGCCAATGTAACATATTAAACTCAATGTTATAAATTCAAAAGATTACATAAAGATTCAATACAAAATCTATATTGTCCATGTGTCTATCACAATTATGATTAATATGACTAAACATTGACATAATGATGGTAGACAAATATGAATCTCCTCTTTAAAGATCGTATCTTGCAAGGCCTCTCAAGACTGCCTCGTAAGAACTTTTCTCGATAATCAACGTATGAAAAACCTCACAAAAATTTTTCTAAAAAAAAATTCAATAATCTCGATACTTTTCTTTTAATGGGTCTCTAAATCTCCAGTTCTTCAATATGCCTTCAATACATTCTCCATCAACATTTATTAATGATCATGTGAAATTTGGGAGTGCATGCCACCTACAAAATAGACATATTTAATGAATAGCATCATTATCATAACAACGTTATGAACTCATATCATGCATCTATTGTCTTAGCATAGAGCACACACCATAACCAACTCATTCCCCACTCCTAATGGACCCCTCAATGCTAATAAAACTAACAAACATTCATGAGATTCATTTTTGATGCTACTCCAAAGCATCTTCACTATTAATTTGTTACTTATCCCATAATATTTTCACATCATAAGCCTATGTTAAGCTCTAGACCTAACACTCCTCAAGGAGATCTTTGGGCTTAGCATCAATTTCACCAAGAGCTCTATTATATTCTCCAAATTCACCCTCAACCAAATCCAACTTTGTGAGGTCCTGAATCTCCCTAATGAGAACTCCACTTCTGTCAACTTGGGGATCCCAATTATTGTCAGAGGAATCCTCATATCCAACCTTCAATTCTTGTTGAATAAAGCTACCCTTTTTCTTGATGGTTGGAGAGGTAAAGCTCTTTCTCTTTGTAGGGAGACTACTATATTTAAAGTTTACTATCTAAAACTCGATAGCCTAATGGATTAGAGATTCTATCATACTAAAGCATGCATCAAATACCTAAATAAAATTTCTACAATATTTCTATGTCTTGTTAACATAAATCTAAACAATTTCACTTGATCTTTTGAAAAAAATACTTGCAAACCCCTCAAATATGGTGGACTTGGCATCCCTGCTCTTATAGACCTCATATTTGAATGCAACTGCTCTCTGACTTGGAGATTTTTATCCTTTGAAACTCTCATTAATAGGTTGTGAAAAGTCAAATATGCCTCACTCTGAAAATTCTCTCTTCATGAAACTAAAATTTGGAGCAACCTTCAAACTGTAGTTGAAAGCATTGTATCCCACCTCTCTTTCCAAATTAATAGGTATGTCACCCTCTCTTTCCAAATTAACAGGGATGACACCCTCTTTTTAATGGGATATGTGTAAGGGTGCAAACGAGTCGAGTCGAGTTCGAGTCAGGAGGTGTTTGAGTCGAGCTCAATTTTCAAATATGGTGCTTGAGCTCAAGCTCAAACTCGAGTCGAGCTCGAGCTCGAGCTCGATTCGTTCCATTGTAAACAAGTTCGAGCCGCTCGTCGAGCCTCCAACGCTATCTGGTTTGCCTTCTGGTTCACCTTACGAACTCGTCGTGTCTCGCACGGCCTTTAAAATGAGAGAGAGAGCAGAATGAATAATAGGCATTTATTATTCAGTGTCTCTAATGAATGAACACTTTACATCATCATTTATTGGATCATTTGTTGGACCGCTCACCACTGTAGTCTGTCAAAGAAAAGAGAGAGAGATATATAGCTTTGAAATACACATGCAGGATTTGAGAAATCACAAAAAAATTGAGTTGTAATACGGCATAACTTTAAAATTACAGCAGAATTTACATAACATTTATTATTATTTTTTCAATATTAATATTTAATAATTATTCGAGTCGGCTCGCGAGCTCACGAGCCAAACCGGCTCAAGCTTGAACTCGAGCTCGTTTACAAATGAGCTCAAGTTTGAGCTCAAGCTCGACTCATGAGCTCGAGCTCGACTCATGAGCTCGGCTCGCCAGCCGATAAACGAGTCGAGCTCGAGCCGGCTTGCAAGCCAACTTGACTTACTTAAACCCCTAGACCTGCAGCTCGAAGACAAATCTTTTTTTGTGATCATTTCTTTGGCGGTTAAGCAAAAGCTTTTGAAATGGACAAATCCGAAGATTATCAGGTAAGTTTTCGAAGTTGGGCTCTTTTGCATTGAATTCTGAACAATGATGAAATACATTTATCTTTTTTTCACTGCATTTTCACTCCATGGATGATCTTACCATTGTATTTGGGCATCCTAGAGTGATAGCTAGGGCTTTTCTACTTTAGATTTTATCTGATGATTTCTATTTTAGACTGTCTTTCGGAGTCCAGATTTTGATTTATCTCATTCCATGTGCTCACCTCTTTGTTCTATCTAGGTTTTTATTTTCCCACTCGTCTGAGAAAATTTTTAGCATTATTTTTTCTATGCACCTATTTTGGCATTCTTTACTTTAATTTTGCTTTTTAAAGAGATTTTCTAATATAAAAATTTATCTACTAAAAATTTATTTTAGACCATAATAAGAGAGTAATCACAAATGAAACCTAAGTTACAATTAGGAAGTTGCCTTTTGTAACTACGTTTATAACAATGAGAATGGGCATATACCCTCATTCTAACCATTAACAAAAAATAATAATTAAAAAAAACCTAAAACTCCTACATACACTAACACACACAATATAGTGAAATTATTCAGTGCGGATACGGACGCGGTCTAGAGGCGAATCAGAGTGGACCACACCACCTCTTTGTTGTGTACCAGATGATGTAGCGCGCTCTAATTCGCCTCCAGACTGTTCGGTATCCACACATAATAATTTCTCCACAATATAACCCTTAAGATGCCGGACAATCTACCTGCTACTGCCACTAGCCATCATCATTAGAAGACTTAACAGCCACAACACTCAAACCTGCTATAAATATTATATTAGTTTTCTAATAACAATCATTTGATATTAGCCAAAAAACAAGAACAATGCAGGCCATTTTCCATTAAAATCTAAGCTCGTATTATACATGATTGCAATTAAAATGATTGATTCAGACACTTATTGCTCATCAAACACCAGCCAAGATGAGAAGTTCATTGAAATTTTCTACTTGTTTCAATGATAGATTTCAGAAAATCTCTCTATATTACATCTGGCAACCAAAACATGATAATCAAATCACTGGTAAGGACTGGAAGCAATTATATTCAACAAATGAACTCGAGTGCTAATTCTTCTATAATTCAGCTCAAGCTTGCATGTTGATGTACATTGGTATCCCTTGCCTCAGTAGACTTTGCTCATGGAAAAACAGATATATCAAAAGCGCATTTAAGAAAAAAGCTACAGAGACATATATGAAACATTGAAACTGTTCCATAACTAAGCTTCGTTTGGGATGACTTTTTTAATGCTTTTAAAGCAGCTTTATAGTACAAAGATTTTAATTTTTATACTAAAAAGTTATTTTAGGAAGTAGTTGGAAAGCCGTCCCAAACGGAGCCTAAGAAATAAGGATGGAAAGCATAGGAAAAATATACCTGGATCAGATAGCTAAAAACAATATCCTATCCATGAAAAGCACTTATCATTCTCTTTTGTCTTCTTCGTGTTCATCTCCCAATCCAAAAACATGATCTGAAGCTTTCCTCTCCTTCCTTTCAAGCTTGTTAGCCATATCTCCAACTACTTTGGCACCGCTGGTGAGCGAAATTCCTTCCTCATCAAAATCATCACCCATCTCCTCTGAATATGCATATCTGCCAAGCAAACAATGAAACACCAATGGCTATTCAAAAATCAGAAGCTCCAATACTGCAAAAAAGACTTTTCAAAACCGACCATCTGCCTTGACTATGTGAGAAGTGCGGATAATGCCACAAGTTAATTTCAGAAAATGTGTGCTTCTCTAAATAATTTAACAAAAATGAGCTCGTAGAACAATTTTCTTGGATAATTCATCCACACATTCCACAAATGTATGTTTATCCCAAAAGATGAGATTGCAAATCATGTATGCATGCACTAAGCACAATTGTGGCATAGCAGAGGAGGAGATAATATTTTAGAATGAATTGTGAGAACATGTACAGTTCAAATATATAATAACCAAGAAATTTAAAGCATTTGCTCCATAGCACTAGAGAAGAAAGAAGAATCCTAATCACCAGTGCAAGCACAAAATTCGAGTAAAAAGACTAGAACCCTAATAGCATATAATATTACTGTTCAGTCCCAAGATCCCAATCAAGTAATAGACACACGGACACAACACAAACCACCGACAAGCCATGAACGACCCATAAAAGGTTATAGACCTATTTTTGGCATCCATTAATGTATCATAATCAAAATCAATAGTTGGGCATACTTGGCCGTCTATAGGGTAGCAAGCTATACCGTGGCACACAGTATAGTAAAAAATGTAGATAGAGTAAGTGCTAAGAAAAGTGGGAATCTTGGTCTTCTCAACTGACTCGTCGATAGAAACAATTTAACAAACACAATCTCAGGGTCCTGAACAAAAAACTTGTCATGAATCCTAAAAAAATAAAATATTAAATACAAGAAAATTTATAAACGAAATAACTAATCATATGCTTCCCACAATATTGAAAAATTATGGTTGAAAACCAATCTTGATATGGATAAATGTAGCATATTAATGTAAAACTTAACAAAAATGGAAATAATATATGCAAAATACACCTAATGATACAAACTAAATAACGTGATAAAATAGCCGGACAATAAAATAGGTCAAGCTAGACTTGCAACTTTATTAGATTAGATTGCTAACTGATAGTAATCATCACATACGAGCAAAATTAACTAAAAATAGCAGCACAAGTTTGTTCAATGTTCATTAACAAGATCCAGAATAACGAAAAGTAAGAAAATTTGAAAAAAGAGATGTGTAAGAATGAAATAAGCAACAAAAAATAGGGCGAAATCACATGAGAGATTCTAGAAAATGAGGCATGATAGGTTTTAATTCTCACTATGCAGAAAAAGAGAGATTGTCCCGAATGCAAGGAGTGAATATAACTTTAGAAGCTTGTTGAATAAGTGACGTGGTGGATTTTGTCAGAAGAGGCGATCTTTGAAATTATTCATCTGCTAGCTTTTTTTTTGTTTGATTATGAATTTTTGTTGAAATTCTTGATATTTATGATCATTTAAGCATCAATTGGACTTAAAAACTCCTAATGTTTGTTTTCATTTGAATTAAGTGAGTTGTTGACTTGATTAGTAACTACTAATCTATAAATACCCAAGTTGTACAAGGGAGCTGTTAACATGATTTGTGTGGGTAAAGCAGAAGTCATGGATTGCTTTTGGAATTTTTAAAATAATTGCTAGAGCCAATAATTCTAGGGCATTTTCAATTAAATAGTGATTAATCTAATCTTAGATTGAGATTTATCATTTTTAACTTTAACTACTAACCACCTAGGCCATGAGGAGTCTAAAAATTGTTGGAGCAAATTGTTTTGGGGAATTTTAAAATTAAATAATGATTAACATAAACTCAAATTGAGATTGATTATTTGCATCCTTATCCACTAACCTATGATATTAAAAGTTTATATAAAGTGATATCAATCATATAATTCATAAATTTTGCTTGAATAGAACTTCCTTGCTAATTATTAATTATGTAGTGCAAGTTGGATGTGTGATTCCTTTAAACTTATATAACAAATGAAATTATTCCCTTTATGGACATAAGACATAAATTTTCTCTATTTGATAATTTCATTCTTTGTGTATTTCAATCTATATACTTTATTATTGGCTAGTCAAGAAGAATTGATTTTGGTCAAAATTTGATGCATCTAAAATTTGATTTTATGCAAATCAATTTATGAGCTCACTAATTTTACTTGTTTCCAAATTCCTTTTAAAATTCCCAAATATCTATAATTATTTAATTATTAATAGGGCCTACAGAATATCATTGCTTATTTTCATTAAAAGATAGAGTTGTTGGAATACTAGATAACAAGCAATATATGAATCCTCAATTTTTTTGTATGAAAGCATCTTACAAATCATATTAGCTACATTAGAGAACTCTAAACATGAGTGATCCATCCTATATCAATAAGTTTAAATATTTTCAAACTTTCCCGTAATCAATGCTTGTTTGCTAGAATTTTATTGGTATCCCACTGCCTGCTGAAATGCCGGTTGAGGAAAATAATTTCCTAATAAAAACTGAAAGAGCAGAATGTCAACGTCAACTCGTCAAGTATTAATTTTGAACCAAGCGCATTCTTACAAAGTAAATTTATAAGAGGGTGATAAATTTGGCAACTGTACAAGCACATGTGTACATATATTGAGCAGCGATGAGAGTACCTAGTTGGATTTTGTGATGGAGCCCAAAGGAAACAAATTACTCCAAGAAGTATGTAGGAAAGAACATTCCAAAAAGCAGAGATGATCCAAGCCCTTTGCCACAGTTCACTTAATGGGTCAGTAGCATTAAAATACAACTGCACCATCACAAATTCAAAAGCTTCAGTTTATCACGATTCACTTGCAACTGGAAAATAAATTTCTTAGAGTAAAACAAGTTATGCTCAAAGCCTGATGCCAACTACTTCGTATCATATTAAAGGGGCTATAACAAGATATGGAAGTTTGGAACATCTAATATATCAGAGAATAGCATATGGTACTTGGAGTTTCAAAAAATAAAACAAAACAGAACAATAAATTATCTGACTTACACTGCCATTTGCTAGTTATCTTTCTGGCTAGCTCTAAATTGAAAGAAATGCATGCACTTCTACTAGAGAGAACCACTTGCTACATCACTGAGAATCAGTGTTTTAAAAGGCATTTTGGGTCAGAACAGAGTAAAATACCGACGAGCATATGCCCAACAGGCTGAGGCATCACCTAATGAGCACGGTGCTCGACTTTTGTGCCTCATTAGCGGGATGATATCCCTACGATATAACTTAAATTAATTATCAAACTACGAAATTTTAACTTATTGAAAAAACTTTTACATCTATTTAAAAAAAATATATATAAATAAAAAGATAATTAGCATTTTAATCCCTTGAGTTGAGTCACAGCAAATTGATTCCTCTCATACAAATGGTGATATGGATCCCAAGGTAATAACACGTATATCGAGGAATTTGGCCCTCGATGTCGCCCAAACAATTTCAGATCGACAAACGGACAGTGTCATTGCGTCCGGAACATCGTCTACATTCAGAATATATATTTCATTTAATGAATATGGATCATCTGAGATGGTGGCGAATTTTTATGCAATTCAAATATGATATAAAGGCATGCGTTACGATGGAAACAAGGCCTCGAAAATGCTCGAATGACGTCTAATCGACAAACGAATAGCCCCATTGCGTCCGGAACGTCGTTGACATTCAGAATACATATTTTATTTAATAAATTTGTATCATCTGAGATGGTGGCGAATTTCTAAGCAATTCAAATATGATATAAAGCCCTTCGTTACGACGGAAACAAGGCCTCAAAGATGCTTGGACGACGTCCGATCGACAAACGGACAGCGCCATTACATCCGGAACGTCGTCAACATTCGGGATATACATTTTATTTAATAAATTTTGATCATCCGAGATGGTGGTGAATTTTTAGGCGATGCAAATATGATATAAAGGCCTGCGTTACGACGGAAACGAGGCCTCGAAGACACTCGGATGACGTCCGATCGACAAACGGACAACGCCATTGCGTCCAGAACATCGTCTCCATTAAGAATCTACATTTTATACGTTCAAATTGGATTGTTTGAGGTGGTGTCACAAATTTCAAAGGTGATCCAAATTTGATGCGAAGGCACGCACTACGAGGGAAATTAGCCTCGTTAGTGACGAAACGATGTTGGATCGACAAACGGATAGTGTCATTGCGTCCGGAACGTTGTCGGTATTAAGAATCTACATTTTATTTGATCAAATTGGATCGTTTGATATGGTGTCGCAAATTTCAAAGGCAATCCAAATATGATGCGAAGGCGTGCATATTGAGAAAAATTGCCTCTACGAAGACGAAGCGACGTCGGATAGATAAATGGATAGCATCATTGCGTCTGGAACATTCTCAACCTCCGAAAACTATATTTTGTTTATTCAATTTGAAGCATCCATATTAGTGGCACGAATCTCGAGGCGAAACACATATACTGGGGAAAGTGGCCTCGTCGCCGCCCAAACGACGTCCGATTGCAAAATGGACTACGCTGTTACGACCGGAACGTCAGCAATATCCTAAATGCACTATCAATTCGTCCAATTTTGATATTCGGCGAAATCGACACATAAAACGAGAGAATACACGAAATTTGAGGAAATATACGCAAATCGAAGCAATCCTGATCTTGACGTACTGTCATCATTTCAAATGCATAAATGATGATGACAGGGCATAGATTTTGATTTTAGTTTAATGTAATTAAATAAAATGAAAATCAAAAAGTCAATTGAGATTTCAAATCTCATTAATTTGCATTAACTTGTATCAATCAAACTTCTGTTAAGTCCTGAAAATCCACTGAAGCTCTAACGTTCTCCTCTATTCTTCGATCAAATCCCGTGAAATCCTCGCATGAGAAGTCGCTTCAGTCTACGATGAAACCTCATCGTTAAATCAAAAATAAAATGAACGAAAGTGGATTCTTTTCTCTTCTTGCTGCCTCCACATGGAGCCTTGGCCGGAGACGCCTTCTCCAACTTGGCAAGCTTCATCTCCACTTCTCTCTCGTCCAAATAAAAAAGAAAAAGCGCGGCGGGGAGGCCGGGGCCGAATTTTCGGAGCCCACAACAACCCTATAGAAACATTGAAGTTAGTTACACCTGACTCGCCTTCGCCTTCATCACATCATTTCTATCCCTAAATTTCTGCTTGCTTCGCCAAAGCCTCCCTGACAGCTCTTCATTTTTCTTGTCGACACATTGCTCGTTTTTATCAAAGCTGTACACAAAATGGACACTTGTCTTGTTTCATTTCAATCTCTCCTTTCATTTAATTTTATATATTTGTGCTAATTAAACTATAAAGTTAGAATATATATCATATGGTTATTCCCTTTGAAACTTTAAATTTACATCCGTTGAGATATGAATGTGCCTTTTTTCCTCGATGACTTAATTTACCAAGTCCTGTAAAGAGAGTACATACCTCATAGCCAATCCAAGCAACAGAAAGAAGCACGGACACAGCCAAGGAATTCGTGAACTTCCGATACAAATCTAGTTTGGCCACACTTCTCCGCACCTGAAGCATTAAGAAACAAGAAAAAGAAAAAGCATGACCAACAAGAATTACACTAGGGAACTTCAATGAGAAAAATATTGACGGGTGGTCCATCATGTACAAAAAGATGGCTAATTTGCATGAATCATGAGTAGAAGTTCCTTTATATATTTATTTATTTATTTTTAATACATGCAGCAGAAAGGCAATCAAATTAGGCCTTGCACAGAATAGAATGCCCGGAATACATTAATCTTTAGATAACATAGTGATGATACCAAAAGGCACTAAATAAAATTCATAGCAAGCTGTTGGCATAAGATTTTTGCGCTATAATTTGGGAAGCATAAAACTATTCAAAAAGAAGCTTTTTGGGTTTTTGAAAATCAGGGCTTCTACAAACATAAGTGTTTGATATTTCGTATTTAAAAAAGACAATCTGTAAAGCAAAATACTTTATAATAATGAACAGTTATTTTCTCCGTCTACAATTGTTAGAAAACAATTGACAAAATAGAAAGATCAAATATTAAGCATGCTTTAAAATTTATGCAAACGTCTTAGGGCTAAGAGTTGACATAAATCATGGAAAAGAAATTAGAATTTGCATAAGAAAAACCCAAATTAAACAAAAACAAACTTTCTCTGTAAGTAAGATTGAACATACAAAAAGCATGAACAAAACAATAATAAGATGCTCGATTAAATCAAAGAAATCAACAAAAAATTAAAATCACAAAAATCAGTGAGAAGATTGAAATTTTACATCCGCAATGGAAAGCTCAATTGTGATGAATTTGACATCAATAAGAATTCTTGCAAAGTTTATAACATAGAAGGTATATTTGACAGAAGAATTCAACAAATAAGAGAAAAATCAAGCTTCATGCAGGAATAAGGAAATGCCTTGCAAAAGAAATCCAGCATCCAATAGGCACACAACACCAAAAAGGAAACCTTAAATTTTTATTAAGCACCTAATTGAATTTTACATGGTTCAGGTGTTGATATTTATAAGCACATAAACCTTCAATTGGCTGCCTCTAATTGTTTTAAGTAAAATTTTAAAATTAATCTTGGCATAATCAAATAAAAGATAAATCTAGCAAAATTGAAAGTTAAACACATGATAGAACAACTACAATAGTAGCTACTAATGAGAGAAAAAGGTGACCAAATACAACAAAAAAAATCCAGAAATAGCTTGCTATAATAAAGTGTTGACTTCGCTTTCATCATGCTCGAGCCCAATCGCCTTTGATGCTTCCTAGCTCTATCATCAAGGTATCACATACACTCAATGATTTAAACCCGGGCCTCCCAAATAGGATGACATCTTAATCACACAGACATACCTCTGATTTGTTTGATAGTTCATCTCATCACAATTGCAATCTTTGTTTGATTGCATGCCATGCCACAATCATAATTTTCACTTAATCACACATCTTGTCGTAATCGCGATTTTCATTCAATCACGAATCTTGTTGCGGTCACAATTTTTATTTGATCATGCATATCCTGTTGAGATCACGTTATTTGTTCAATTGTGTGCATAATGAGGTGAAGCCAAGAATCAAGTATTACGAACTTCATACAAACTCGATTCATAAAATCCCAATCAATAAGATCATAAGCTTTTTTCTAAAGAAATTTTCATCTTATCTATCTATTTCTCCTTTTTTTTCTTTTTCCTTCACTGAGGTTGGATTAACTTTTTCACCGATTGCATAAGAAACATAAGAAATATGATTCAACACTAAGATAGAAACTATTCAACCCATAGGTAGGATAGGCTCTGAATCTCTACCACAAGCATCGAGCTATCGATCAATCTCATAAGGCTAATACTCAAAATAGGAATTCTTCATCCGTAAAAAGGATCGTATTTTATAGAAGAAATGGCAAAATCGTTTCACTAATTATAGATCTTACACATCTTCTCTGGCCACTCGTGCTGGAAAAATCCAGCCTCCCCCTACCCACTTCAGCCAGTCTGGAAATTTTTTCTTTGTAAAAGGTAATGAAGAAAAATTGATATGAAATACGAAACATCATACTCTTGTACGAACCGCCTATAGAAATTAGAACACTTCCCCCACCCACGAGATGCGGAGCAAAAGAAACGGTCTGCCAACTGGACCGAGGAGAGTGAGGTTCGTCACCACAGTCATGACAGAAGGCTGAGTTGAAAAGCAAAGCGAAGACAAACCAATGAATGAAATGAAGGACGGCTCGCTCTACAACCAGGGTGGCCAGTCGTCTCACTTACTAGTCAGAGCTGCACAATTTTTAGATAAGGCACGTAGTGTCCCATGAACCACATTTGCAGATTGGAATAGGCTACCCGACACTTCTTAGCAAACCTTCCTTCGAAATTACCATTGAAACCTCCACCACTTTCTCAACCATGCCTTGTTCCTTCATTTAATTCAACCTGCACTCCTCTCTCTAATGCTATAGCTACTGTCGTCCCAACTTCTACCCATTGACCTCCTCAAAACCACCATTTAAGCCCTCATCTACCCAACTCCATCGCGTCTCCAAACACTTACATGCCTTCAACCTTCAATGCCATTTTCTCATATCTCCACATAGGGGGACAAACAAGCAATCAAGCCCAACTATCACATCCACATCCACATCATGCCGTTACCTATAATGTTGGTGCCTATAACAAAGTTTTCACTTCTACCTAGAGCCAAACCACTACCTCTCTCTTGAAACGATATACTCACTAATCTCCACATATATATCTCCTTGCTGAAAACCTAGCCAATAATATTACAAGACTTAGACCTTGGTGATAAGGTTTTGTAAAGCCTAGCAGCCTAAATTGTTCATCACTTAATACTCTACCAATCTAGGAATTTGAGTCAATGCAAACAACACTACAAGACAAGATTTTTTATCATTTAGAACAATCCACACATCTCCTACAAAGCCTTTTCCAAGACTAGAAGCCTCGATTGAGGCCGATTGAGGCCAATCGATCTCACTTAATTTATCATAAATAATTGACAACATGCACATCATCACAAACTTATTTTTGTGCATTTTGTACGCACCTGTTGCCTTGAGGAGCACACCTTCACACTTGAGACTTGTCAACTCACACATATTTGCAAAAATTACTCTCCTTCAATCGCTCACAGGTATTATGTTCGACTATCACCACTTGATCCCCTAACTAGCTTGTAGCTTCTCTTTTGACAGACAGGCATCCTTAGATGCTATTATGATTGTGACTCTAGCATTTGGACCTAATCCTACATGTTCATGTGTGTATATATATATATATAATGGAAAGTGTCAAAACAATATTTTAGAACTTGCTTTTGTCAATGTACTAGCTTGATCATGATTTAGTAGGCCCAATGCCTCTCTAGTACATGTACATCACCGAAGTCATTAGTTGAGACCTGTCCTAATCTAAGTGGGTTTATCAACTGTCATTTTTTTTATTAATGATCGACGTCGCAAACATGCATGTTTGTGAGCAGGTCGTTAGATGAATACACCTGAACCTGTTGATTGTCAGTGTGATATCAATTGGCACTAATGATCAGCCTCATGAGCATATAGACTTGCACAATAGATTGTTAGCATTATACCCACACACAGTTGGCTACAAGTGTGCTACTACTTAGCTTCATGGTGATCTCACAAGACCACACACTCGTGTAGCTGGCTTTTAGCCTTACACTCTTTTCACGATCATTCAAGAAAGGTGAGGGTGGTAAATCTAACATCTTAGAAGCCCTCACTCATAAGTTGAGCACATGTACAATATATTATTGATGTAAGGTTGTCATAGGTCTAATTGTATTTATTAGATCTAGGTATTTATGTCGTTCATCTAATATGATGTCACTAATATAATAATAAAGATCTGTGATGTGCTGTGAATGATGTGATATGTGATGACATAAATGCTATTAACATTTGTTTTGCAGAGACCTAAGGAATGTGCAATATAAGATTGATGATCTCTTTTTATGCTTGTTTGCCTATTTCATTCCATGCTTTAATGCATTTTATACGTGCCCTTATCTTGTGATGATCTATGATTGATATCACTAGCATTGGTGGCTGTAGAGATTATTAGAGTTATAGGCTTACACACTGTGTGAGACTAGACTCCTTGAAAATAAAAATGCATCTAATTTATGATTTCAGGAGCAGGGATTAGGCATATGGGCTCACTATGCTAAATATTGATAGATGACATAGATACGACTTTTAGCCTCTAGACTTGGCAACGTCCATTAATCATTATATCATGTCATTGTGAGTCTGCATATAGAATAAGATCTACCTTAAGATATATAATCAAGATATAGGCTTCACACATTGGCATTTTCTCTAAATAATCAATCTACGATGTCTCTATCTTTTCCACTCCATTTAAGAATGATTAACCATTCACTTTCACACACAAATAGGAGGATTAGATGACACTCCTGACCTAGAAAAGATGCAAGTCCAAACTTCTATCTTCTCTACTATTGAATGTTAGTTGATCTTTTTTGGTCACACGCAACAAAGTTGTAAATCTCATTTTGACACCTCACATTCTTGCAACAATGAATAGCGCACCATAGCGCAAAGTTCCTCGTGGAGCCATAGCACATAGTGCACGGCAAGACGCATGGCATTTTAAACATGGCACACAATATTAAATAATTGTAAAGAAAAAAAATATATTAATATGTAATATTATTAAATAGAAAGATAAATTATCATGATAATAAAAACATCCAAAGAAATGTTTAAGTTCAAATAATCAACACCTCAATCACTCAAAATTCAAAATATTGTAACCATTTTTTCAAATCTATTTTGTTTGTTAGAAATTAAACTAATCTTCTTATGAGTCATCATCATCATCATCAAATGTCAAAAGAAATCTCATTTCATTAATCAACATCATCTACTAATTCATAATCCCCTTCATTTGCCACAAAAAATACACATCATACAATTATTATTGCCTTCATTTGCAAATATTACATATTTTC